GGAGTTTGACAATGGATGAGAATGGATCTCTCTATGTCACTGACGTTGGAAAAGCTGAAGTGAGACGATATCGAAGAGGAGAATCTCAAGGAACAGTGGTTGCAGGTGGCAATGGAAGTGGAAATCGTCTCGATCAACTCTCTTCCCCACACTACGTATTCGTCGATCGAGATCATTCAGTGTACGTGTCTGATCTGGGAAATCATCGTGTGATGAAATGGGTGGAAGGTGCAAAACAAGGCATTGTCGTGGCTGGTGGTCAAGGAGAAGGAAATGGTCTTACACAATTGTATTATCCTGAAGGAGTCGTTGTTGATCAATTGGGCACTGTCTATGTGGCTGATTGGGGGAATCATCGAATCATGCGTTGGCCCAAAGGAGCCACACAGGGAAGTGTCATTGTTGGTGGAAACGGTCAAGGAGGACAATCGAACCAACTCAATGTGCCCATCGGTTTGTCATTCGATCGACACGGCAATCTCTATGTCGTCGAGTACGGAAATCATCGAGTACAAAAATTCAATATCGATTCAAATGCAGAAGAGTGGTTGAAGTGTGTTTGTTTGTATCTAGAACGATCAATCGAATAAACCAATGGATTTCAACGATGATAAATGAATGAATAATCTAGTTTCTCGAAATAATCGAAGTTAACATTGTTCGAGTGCTGGTTCTTCTTGAATGCATATTTGACCAGTTGTGTATCGTTTTCTTCGCAGATGTGGATTTGAATCCGTAGTACAAAAGTTAACTTGAATCGACGCATTTGAAAGAGGAGATCATCATTTGAATACATTAAATTCGTAGAAAACCGCAATACGATAATAGTAGAGTGTCATCGACTGTTAGGGACCGTCCTGTGTCGTCCCTACCAGTTACGTTTTCGTTCGTTCGTCATGGATGGATCGATGACTCATTCACTTTTCTGTTTTTCGTCCTTTTCTCTCTGTTAGCCAATTGTTGTTTCTTTTTCTCTTCAATCGACAAAAACAATCGATTAGGAGCGCAGGGTCTAACATCCACGATTGAATTTTGAGAAAAAAACTATTAAAACAACGACGAGAGAAAAAAGCGTAACCCTTGACTGAGCCGCAATGTGGAACTTCCATTTTTCGTTTGCTATTATCGGTTCAAGATAAATTATTGCTGTGAGTCTATCGTTAAGATAGAGCACATAAAAACCTTGCAGTTTGAGAATTTATGAAAGACGATTCTTTATGAATGTTCAAGTTTAGACGTAGAAAGTTGGAACCTTTGAGTAGCCAGATTCAAAACCTCACAAATCAGGTAGCCTGTCTCAATGCTAATTTGAGAAATAAATAAATATTTTTAAATTGAAACAGAATGATCTTGTGCCTTTTGCAATATTAGCTTTCATTTGAGCAAGTCATGAGGAGAATCGAAACCGGAATCACTCGAAGGGCGAAAACAGATCAAATCGTTCCTCTGAGTGTCTATCAGCTCTGATGTATGCACAGTGTTCAGTAATGAAGGAATTAAGTCAACTGATTGTGAGAGTTGTATCTAGTATTTACCCTATAATGTTCAGGTTCCAAGTCGAATTACTGCCCATATAGGAGATTCGATGTCTTGATCTTAAAGCTAAAACAAATTGCTCATATAACAAGAAAGCTGAAGTTTCACTCAAATACTTCTCTGGAAAATACTTAAGCTACATTTGAAAGTTCCATGATATCGAATAGTTTGATTCTGTCTTGCGTTAGCAGAGTTAAAAAGGTGAAATATTGTGATTTTGAAATTCGATTATTTTGCTTAGCCATAACTTTAAAAAGTTGGATATACTGGGATTATCAACACTTCAGTAGCTTTGCTGCGGAGAAAAACTTCAGCTCTCAAACTGTCCGTTCGAATCGCTCGAGTTTAGCATAGTAAAATACAGAAATCGGAACGGCCCTTCACGAGGAAGGAGAATTCATACACTCCAAAGTGTCTAATGCATTTTCACTCCACCAAATTAACTCATGGACAAATTATGGTTGTGAAAATTTACCCAATGCATCGATTTCTACAAAAGCTTAGTATAAGTTATATTCAGGTTTGAACAGGAACAAAGGAACGATACGGTGTCGTCGATCAGCCACAGACATTATCTTATACTTTACTGTTTGTTTGATTTTCAATTACAACAAATGAGTTTTCATTAAATATTTAAGTTATCTGGGATACCCCATTGGCTGAGAGCATGGTGGAGAAAGATCCTCTGATAATTCCAAATATTCTGCCGTTTTTTTTTTAGTCGCTTCCTGTTGAAAAAAAATCAGACGGAATCGACGAATAACTTTTATCTTTCAAGCTATGATCATTTTTTTGTTTCTTTAAGAATAATATAAATAGTATTTTGCGTTCGAACTGAAAAATCTACTTGTGTGGTGATTTTCATAATGTCATTTTCACCATCAACCAACGATATCCCCTCGTTTAGTCAAAACAACTTCAATCAGACATATAATTTTAGAATGAAGTGTACGCTACTCATCGAATCACAATCTCGAAGATCTAATTAACCTCTTTCGGACACCGAAGCTGAATGGCATTTCATTAGTTTAAGGTCGAATTTCGTCAAAAAGTTGTTTCAAAGAAAATGGTGCTTGTGAAACAAAATCGATTTTTTGAATGCTGAACGAGAGTTGCAATGGAACGAAACGAAAACAATTGAAACGATCATTCATGTGCCATTTCTTAACATGTGAATGGTGAAGATTATGTTTTGTTATTTTATAAATTGCAATTCATCAACTCGCAGTGTTTCAACAGAAATTGGATCGGTGAATATTATTGTAGTTTGGAAGATGCTAACTGAAATGATAAGTGCTTTGTTTGATGAAAAATTATCTGTCTTCATATATATTGGGTTATATTGATGGGAATTGGACCTGATGATCACAATTCTCCTATGCAAAAACGTTCATATCAAACTTGTAAGACTATTCAAATAGAAATGAAAAGAAGCAGAGCATGAATGCAAACAGACAGATAAACATTATTTTATTAAAAATACATAAATCAATTCAATTTATTCCATTCTTCAATGGACCGTCTTTTGATTCTTTTCTAAGGGAGAAGTAGTTCTACTTGAAAGATAATCTTTAAAGTAATAAAACAAAATCGTTTCTGTTTTTATCGAACTCGTCTCGCATTGAACGCTTTCACGATAGAATTATTGATATCAGTTTATCAAAAACAGTTCGTGATTACGTTGTTTCTCTTTAACAAAGTTTTTGTTGAGTTTGTATACAGTGAAGTTGACGAACACTTTAGAAGATGTCTCTCCCAAGTGTTCATTTTCATTTTCGAACTATCAACTATTGTTCTCCGTATCATACAGTTATTGTTAGTTCCACATCTTTGGAAGAGTGAGTCGAATAAATCTGAATACTTTCATAATGATTACGGATGTCCAAAATGAAAGTCCTGTTTTCAACGGTGAAGGTGAATTTGAAAGTAATTAGAACGTGTTGTTCATCGATTCACTATCGATTTAACCGATAGTCTCCAATTTGTTCGTTGGAATATAGAAAAGAGTAGAGATTGATTCGAAGAATTGTGCTATTTTTATTGTTTTCGTTGAATCAAAACTCGATTTTGACGTTGCAATGAAACAAAAATGTAATTCAAGAATGATAAATGAACGATAGAGAAACCATTTGAACACGAGCATTCTCAATTGAATTCTCTGTTGATCTAATGATACAAAGAATATTCAATTTTCAGCCATCGTCAAAACAAGATCACTCATTCGCACTTCATTCATGCGGCGTGATAGTTGAGTGAACAATTGAAAATGACGTTCTAAAGGCGAAATCTAAATTTAAATTCAGTCGATACAATGGCGTTCTCATTTTAGAATTGACCCATTTTCAATGCTTGCACTTTGTGTATTGCTTTCTATGAGATCGAAATTGATCACTAAGCGAATGTCGTGTTAGATTAAAAATCTATGGAATAGTCAAGAAAACGTGTTCTTTTCGAATGGCGATGTTTCATTTACATACTTGGAAAATAGTTTGATCGAAAACAGGAGAAGTGTTCAAGGTCGGAAACAAAAAATTCTACTTTTTTAAAAATCTATCACCCTCGCCCATTACATACATCAAATCAAACAATGTACGTTAAATAATGATTGATTTGGTAGTTTGGATTGTATGATCGAGGACAGGGCATTGAAAATTCTACATCATTTTTCAAACGATCGATTCTTTTGGTTGTAAAGCATTTCTGTAAGAAAATGTTCACAATTGTTCAATCGTTCGTTATTCTGTTCCACATTGAAGTAGGACGATGATATCATCGTTGATGGAATCATCCAAAATTTGAAATACACACATCAAACCTTCGAATATATTCATCATCAACAGTATGTCAATGATTTTGAATGTAGAAATGTTTCTCCCGTTTGAGATCTCACATCACGAAAACGTACTTTTTAAATGTGAACTTTAATGAAAGAAAAGAGAACGAGATCAATTCCGAGAAACCAGATAATTTGTTCTTTCATCGAAATGAATTTCTTTATTCGATTGATTGTTCTCGGAAAAAAACATATTTCAGCAACATCAATTCTCAACATTTACTCTTATGCATTTGAATCGATATTGAATTTTTGTACTCGATGATTTCTCAAATCGACGACATAGAGATTGCCGTGTCGATCGAATGACAAACCGATGGGCACATTGAGTTGGTTCGATTGTCCTTCTTGACCGTTTCCACCAACAATGACACTTCCCTGTGTGGCTCCTTTGGGCCAACGCATGATTCGATGATTCCCCCCATCAGCCACATAGACAGTGCCCAATTG